TGAGTGCCTAAATGAAAAGAAAAAAATGGTCTTCAGTCTTCTACTCCAGCTCTCTCAGACACGTAGGATGTGGAAAAACATAATACTGTTATTACAGTTGAATTTGAAGTTGTTTGAAGATTCATTGTTCAATCAAACACCTGATATTAAAAACTGTATTAATATTAAAATATAATATTAAAATTTCAAAGTTATATCTCACCGGTGAAACTCACCACTTTCTAGTGGGAGGAAATAGCTACAACAAACAATCTTTTATCACAAAATGATAGAAGATCCATCACTAATAATGACTTTGAACACTACATTAAGAACTTGATGAGAGAGGCGCAGATGGGGGTGGTCGAGATAGCCGCAGATAAGAGACATTTGGAGAGATTAGAAGCTTTATAAAGGAACACATAGATCTTTTGCTCTTGATCCTAGCTCCTTGTCCTGTGGTATCTGCCTATTTATGGTAGAGAGAAGAACTGGGATCTCAGGTTGGAGTTCTGATGTCATCCAGCGAAGCTCCCCGAGCACCTATGGAACAGGAACAGAAATTATGACAATGCAATACAATATATTCACGTATGTTTGGTGTGCACATCACAAGGCACTTAAACACTCTGACACCGTCTGACGCTGTATAAATGTCTAATGGTTTGTGTTCTGTGGCTATATATTGTACAAGAGTGACTCCATAAAACTTAAAGACTCAGAGAGCTGACATTTTTACTGTGGTTTTAAGATACTAGCTGATGTTCTGACAAGGCTAATTGGTTTGATGATGACATTCTGAAGACTCAACTACACAAAATCATTGCTTTGTCTGGAATGTTCCACAGTACCATAAACGTAGAGCAGCGGACATGCAGGTTCACCACCAGGTCAAGTCAGGTCAGTTTAGTTTGTTTTCATAGCTGATTGAGTTTCGACTGCTCACTAGTGTTCTTCCTCAGGGCGGTCACATCATGTTGCTGTGACGTGTCATCTTCAGGACACTATCCCAGCCGGGGATTCCCAGGTGTGTGAGAGTAAAACAGTCCAAGTTTATAGTCCCGTGTTTACACATTTCCACTGCCTCCTTAATCCAGAAACAATGTTTGTTTGCTTCTGTCCAAATGATGTTTGTGCTGTCCCAATCCAAATGTGGTCCTCTCTTTGGAATGCATGTTTTGTGCAAGGACTTTTTTTTTTTTTTTTTTTAGCAATAATAACACATGTACTAATTGAATATGATCGAACATACTGTGGAACATTCTAGTTCAACACCTTGGAGCAGAGGTGGGAACTTGTGGGTCGTGACTTGGACTCACTCGAGTCCAACTTGAGTCACTATTTTAGGACTTGAAATTTTACTTGATAAAATGGAGTAAGACCTGTGACTTGAGAAGACTTGATGCTTCTCCTAAAAAAATATATGTTTTTAGAAAATACTTTACTACAGGATACTACAGGACACTAATACTACAGGAACAAACTGGAACATGTCCCTCCAGCTTCTCTTTTTGTCACTTTGGATGTAGCTGAAGTACTGTGATGTGGTATCCTCAAATGTACTACAGTAATACACAGTACTATACAGTAATACACAGTAATATACAGTACAAAACAGTAATATACTGTGCAGTACAGTAAAACAGAGGGAACTGCAGAGAACATGATCCTTCATGACAAAATAAGTGTTTTAAATCTGAATTATTTCTATTCTGACCCTAAGGATTCACACTAAGATCTTGTTAAGACATTTAAAAAAAGGAAAAAGTAGCATTTCTACAACTCTTATATAAATACTCATATATAAATATACCATGATTTTTTAAGTACAACTTAGTTTAAAAAGCAGATAAATTGCAAAAATCTAAGCTTTGGTTTGAAGACATGAAATGACTTGAAGCTCAAAGCAGAGGACTTGGACTTGATTTGAAGTTATGGGCCAGTGACTCGAGGCTCGACTTGGACTTGCCTGTCTTTGACTTGGGCCTTGATTTGGACTTGAGGTCAGAGACTTGAGACTTACGTGAGACTTGTAAAACAACGACTTGGTCCCACCTCTGGCTCGGAGAAATTAATCATTCTATATTATTCATGTTGAAGGGACATTTTGTCCCAGTAGTTTTAGTTGTTTATTAACCTGCTTGGTCCCATTGATCCTCAAAAGTAGCCTACTGCTCTAAATATAAAGCCTGTGTATGTGCATGTGTGTAAGAAGAGAACAAATCACATTTCACCAGCTATTACCAGCTTGTTGACACAATTTAACAACAGTCTCTTTTGGCTCACGTTCGCATTGTAACCATGTCATTATCTGTCATTATAATACTGCTGCATATGTGGACTGTCTCTTACTCACCATCACAGACTCATGAGTTTAAGCCCGGTGCTGACAGTTCTGTTTATTAGCTAAATGTGTAACAAGTGATTCTGATCAGCTCTTGTAAAATGTGTATAGGCTATTGCCGTAACCCATAACCCCGGTGTCTGGAATGTTGATTTGCATGTTTTGATTCCCTTGGGTCTTGGAAAGCTCTGATATAGAAATTCCTTTATATTTAATGTTTTTATAGTAAACTAGAAGAGGGGGAAACAGACATGGCGTCATCAAATTGAAATGTCATACAAGAATGAAAAGAAAAATGATCGTAAACAGGCCAGTGATTTGAAGGTAAAGCGAGTAAATTATAATAGTTAAAGGTGCACTGTGTAACTTTTCTTGTAGATGTTCCGTCACCAGCTTCTCAAGATCACAGTATGGCATTATCCTTTTTTTTTTTTTTTTTTATCTCTACGGAGACAGCAGGTGACGCCATAAGGTCGAGTTGCATGTCAGATCTGTGGAGAGGCAAGCCCATTCACAGTAATAATACAAGTTTTAAGGTCAATAAAAACCCATGTTATTGAGTAAACGTGAGAAGGATTATGTTTAATGCCACACTGTGAAACAATCCAGACAAAACAACATCTCCAGGGAGAAAAGCATTAGATGAACCCTCCACAAGAAGAGTTACACAAAGCACCTTTAAACAGTTCATTATAAGTATTGTTGTTAAAATGAAACATTAAACTGTCTATATAAAGTTTGTGTCCAGACCTCAAGAGAAGTCACCCACATTTGCTCATAGTCCAGACTGTGAATCTGGGCTCCGGTAGCAAAAGGAAACTCTCCTCGCGCCTCTTACGTGACCATGTTTGGTAAAGCTCTCCAGGCATGGGCTTACAGAGAGCCCCTTGACCGACCAGCGCGCACTAGCTAGCACACACAGAGAAGATGGTTTCAATCACTGCGCTCCGAGCCCCCTCCTGTCTCCCCCTCTCCTCTGTGAGAAATATCCCACTTTCATCCTTATTTCAGCCCAGCCACTGTTTGAATGCTTTATCTCAGACTTTTTGATATAACAGCTCGATTACTCATTACGTCAAATAAATTCTGTTATTAAAACAGGAGATGGAGAAAGAGTGCCAGTCAGGTGCCACAGAGCGGTGCGAGCCTTCAGATCTGTGATAGATGCTTTGAGTTGGAGCAGTTTAAGGAGATTTAGACTGTCATGAGTCAGATTTACAGTAGCTACAGAGTAATAACAGAAACAAATCAGTTAATTAAAAACTATAGCTCCTACTAGATACCAAACTTCGGCTGTGCAAACCTTTCAAGTGTATAATAAATGCCTGCTTGAAAACAACTCTTATTTCATGGTGGAACATTAACAAAGAGGTAGTAGTGACGCACAGTACTTAGACAAAAGGACCTGTTTAAGAAAGTACTTCAGTCAAGTAGATTTTTCATGTAGTACTTTTACTTGAGTATTGTATTTATTTTTTCTCTTTTGATTCAGGATCTGTACGTTTATTTAAGTGACAAGACTTGTTCCACCACACATATATTCACCAAACTTGTTCTGATCGTTTTGTTCTCAATTTGCAAGTATTAATAAGTGTATAAATAGCTTTAGTTTTTGTTTTTAGATATGGCTCTAACACCATCTGTGCCAGTTATGATGTTATGACTGACTAGGCTGGAGGATTTCTCTCAACATATAAACAAAGTAAATGTTTCTCTCGTTTATCCACTCATAAATGATGAAGCTTCAACCCTGAAGGAAGTTCAGTTATCTCCACAGACTCGCTCAGGGCTTTGAAGCAGGTTGTAAACATGTTGATTACACTTGACTCGGGGTCCAAACTGTGTTAATTACTTCCAATGGTCAGCCAAGAGCAGAGAGCTTTTAAGTCTTAAATCAAAGGTTTGAGCTCCCCCAGCTGGACCAACGGGCCGATGTACACTGACCAACTCCTACTGGTCAAAATCAGCATTTGTAGATGATCTGCACATTCAAAAGTACAGCCTATTACAATGTACTTTCTTCTTAAAAAGCTATTGCAGAAAATGATATGCCAAATTAGTTCCTTCAATCTTCCAGGAATTTCTTAGCAACTGGACAAGATTTGAAGATGTTTTGCCTCTCAGTGTTTTATCAACAGGTTTTATTGGCTATAGGCAGGGATGTAACAATAACCGAAATATCGTAATATCGTATCGTCAAAGTTCTCACAATAACATCATTGACCATCACAATATATCGAACTACAAGTCTCTTTGCTTAAATGAAGAGTTATGGTGCAGCAAAGACAGAGGGAACTACATAGACCAAGATCCTATGCTCCGTTTCATTGTAGACTACATGAAGAAATAACAGTTCTAAGCACTTTTAAGTCTTAATTCTTTGGATTAAATCTTGTCAAGGCATTTTAAGAGGAAAAAATAGGCTCCACAAAATATTGCAATAAATATCGTACTGTGAGATGTATATTGTGAAAATATCGTACAGAGAGATTTAGATATTGTTATATTCCTAATCGTGAGCCTCCCCACCAAATCAGGAGCTTTTCCCGTGATATCACAATAACTATCGTATCGTGAGGTTCATACCGTGACGATATCGTATCGTGAGACTTTGATATCGTTACACCCTTAGTTATAGGCAATCGAAGTAAAAAAACAGAACACATTATCAAACATGTCGATTATCTTCAACTTTATTGAAGATCAAAACTTTCAAGTAAGTCTCAGTTTTCAGCACTACACGTCTACCATCATTAGTAGTGGTCATCGTAAATTTCACTCCGGCCCGTTGTGTGGGTCTGGAAGTAGTGTAGCCTGTTTCACATTAAAATTCCCCAAGAAAAGTATGGATCAAAATAATCAAAAATTGCATTGCTTTAAAAGTCAAAAATAAAATAATAGGAACATAAGACAGTTCATTTGATTAGCATAACCGTTGCAATCAAACAGTTACGATTACAATATTATTACAGAAAGTGAATGTTGTTTACACTGAGAAACCAAAATTAGATATACAGATTTACAGCAATACATAATACCAGCTGTAATTGTTCAAACGTGGACGTACCGTATTTCATATAATCATCAAAGTCTTTCTCATAGTGTTCTCCGTACACTAGAACACAAGACGGCCTTTAATAGCAGCAGCCTTCTCATTCAAGCATATACTTTTGTTTATTTGCTCAATTCGAATATAGAGGTTGAAATACATAAGAGTAAAAAACCCTGCAGTACCAGAAGTCCTGGTCGCAATAGAATTATTATGATGCTAGTGTTGTGCACGGGAGCCACAGTCGCCAGCAGCATCCAGTTTGATTCTACAACTATTCACAGTTTGGAAAAGAGGAGGCCACGGAGATAGAAGTGAGATGTGAGCCTCCCCGTGTGTAAATATCTACAGATTGCAAAAATAGATTAGGATTTCGGATGCGGTAATGCCACGTAAAGGTTAAACACATTCACAAATAGTCCAGTCTTCGGCTTTGGATTCGAATAATACTTGGCCGGATTAGTCATTGTGCAGGCAGATTAGAAAAATTGTATACACATTTAAAATGCATATTATGGGGATTTTCCACTGGGGCACTACTGAACAAGATAAACACGACATCCCACAGAGATTCAAGATGTTGCTATAAAATGGGAAGAACTTTTACAAGTGGGAAAATCTTGCAAGACCACAAGCTCACTTGCACTTTCTGTATTGTAGAATTATGATTTTGAACATATATCAATACTACAGTTACCCATAGTGCTCCAGTGGAACAAAAAAAATCAGACTTGAAGACAGGAGAAACATATAAAGTTCATGCAATTTTGACTCAACTGCATCATTCACAGCCAGCGTTTGTAGAAGGCACAGGTCCTGCAGCGCCCCTCTGTGGTGTCAGACAGAATTAACGGAGAGCTCACACTATTGTATTGCTCCGTGGGGAGTGTGCTTTAGGGTGAACACAGTGAACGTCCACATTCTCAGATCAGGACAGGCTGCAGCATAAAGAGTAAACATGCAAGCGTTGTAGAAACGATTGAAGAATTGGTTTGAAATCTGTCTGGGAAAAGTGTAGCGATTGTTGTCTACAAAATACAGACTGGTGCAAATGATCCACATGCAGAAAGGTACGGTATAGTCCAGCATGCAGGGAATGAAGAGAAGAACATGCATACAGTGTCTGAAAAGGCTTTGTGGCAGGAGATTACTGCCATTACTATTCACTAAGGTGCCACAAAAATATAGCATTCCATGCTCTATAGATGATTTACATTTGTACACATTATAATGGGCTACAATGAGCTTTATCCAGATGGTTTGCAGCACCATAGTTGGTTTGTACAGCCAACAAGTGCAGAGAAACATTTGCAGGGCTCCTATAGGAATTTAAGAGGTACAATGCAACGTACAATCATGGCGTAAATCTACATTCTAAAAGCTGAATGTATAATGTATAATGTGATGTATATGAGCTCGGTAATCTTTAACTTTACACATTCAAAGCCAAATATGGGCAACAGTCCAGGTCTCAAAGCTGAGATTAAATATACTGTTAAAATAGTGCATTAGGCTGAGCCAAGATGAACAAAATTATGAAAATGCACCTGACCTGTATCCAGGTATTGCATAAATAGAATTTGCCAGCAACACATTAAAGTAGAGCCTGCTACAGTTGTACTGAATAATAAAACCAGTTTTCAACATTGAAACCAAGTTGATGTTTTGTTGCACTTTGTATTTACTTTTTCCTTCTTCCTCAAGCCACCTGACTGTTTAAGGGCAACAGCACTCAATTCCACTCGCACAGTGGGACTTGTTGTGACAATTGCACTTAAATCCCAAGTGTCATGGGGTTTAGGGAGAATATTTTGGAAACATTTTCAGCCCCATTTCTTTTTTAAACTTTAGCAGAACTGGAAATCATATTCCAAACTTTCCCCCCCATACTGTGAAGGAATCCTTTTTCATTTCAGTGAGATTTGGCGCAACAGGAGGGGCACAGATGGGGGTACGAGGGAGCTTTGTGCTTTAAGTGGTAGCACTTTTTCTCTGCATTTGCTGGAATCAACTGTGGAGATGTTGAACTGGTAAACCTTCTGAACCACCATGATACTACGAACCACTAAGTGAGTCTTTGTCAATGAGAGAGGTAGAACACAAGACAAATTCAAGGCAAAATGCGACTGAAATGAGACATGAGCGCATGTGTGTCAATTTTGAGGCTGTATCACAAATAACCAAAACATGTTATGAGGAGCGTAGCAAATGAAGAATACTGAAAAGGCAACATGGTCCGATGGGTTAATATGACAGTGTCATGCTTCTCCGTTGACATGCATATAGTCTGCTCATAAAAAGATGTACAGTTTTACAAAGAGTCCAGAGGGCTGGTGATCGAGGCAGCGCCATTCTGTTGAGGGAGGAGGCACCAGCAGGTGAGGCATTGTGGTGTTGTTCTGTCTACAGTTAGCCACGTGTCAGGTGTGTAGAGACAGGAGCCCTAAAGATCACTAAAGATCACTATAGATCCAGACTGCGCAGGGCTGTGCACCGACAGGTGTTGGCTGGGCAGACAGAGAGGAGCGGCGCTGGGGGCATTATTGCTTTCCTGTCGTCCGCAGGCACTTCAGAGGATTGGACTTTGGCTGAAGTTTATGGTGGACAGGACTGATGTGGGAGAGAGAGATGGACATAGCCAGAAAAAGTGTGCTTTAAGCTCTTATCTTCAAATATAATCGGTTTCCACCAAGCGGTACAGTACATCTGTAGATCCCTTCAACAAACCATAGTGGTTTGAACAGGGACATGTTTACATATTGCTGCAGCTTTGGCAGGCTTTACTTGAGATGCAAGGCCACAATAATAATATATATAATATACACTGAATGTAATGAATAGTGCCCTGCCAGCACAGTAGTGCAGAAATGTTTTGCATCGTTTATACTTTTGCACAACTACATTTTTGTTTGACACTTTTTCAGCTTTGGTTATGGATACAAATGTCTATGAACAGACAGTACTGGTATACCAGTAAACTAAACTTAAGTTAAACCAGTGAACCTTATGTGCAGTTCTTTTTTCCTAAACAGATTTGGGACTTACATCGCAGACACCAAAGTATACTTGATTTTGTGAAAAATCAATGCCAGCGAAAACAATCTGATATGATTCTGATGATTCAGTCTTATTAGCAGCTGCTTTGATTTTGGCAAAACACCTGAGTTGTATTGTAGGATTCTGACTATGAACAATGTTGAAGAAGCTACTTGCAACAAAGCCTGATTTCTAATTCCATATACTGTACATCATGTGACAGTGTACCATAGAGCTTGGTGGAACCGTTGGAGCTCTGAGACCTCCACGGCTGGTGCCAGAGGGAGTGAAGAATCGCCTCCTGTTGGGGAGCACCCTGAGGAGTCCCAGCCCACTACACCACTTACTTTCAGAAGACTGAAGGACGTTTATTGAGTTCTGCTCAACATCACATTTGCTCTGTGGAGACTCAGTCTGTGTGATTATTGACGTGGTCTTTTTTATCTGAACACTCGGCTGCGTCCTTCCCCTTCCTCCCTCTTGTGCCCATCAGCACTTTGTAAGCTCCTCGTGTGATTTTGTACATCCAGATGGTGTTCAGGATGTCCAGGGCGATACAGGAGGTGATCCATGCCACCTGGGCACCAAAACCCAGCCTCTCAAACTCCGGAGTGCCGAAGGTGGCAAAGACACTGGCCCAGTATGAAGGCATGACCGCTATACGCACCAAGAAGAAAACCACAGCCATGGCCAATCCGTTTAGTACCACCATACGATTTGAGCGCGGGTATTTTAACGCCTCGAAGAACCACCTGCACCAGACAACAAGCCACATCAACACAAACTTCTACAAAATGGAAAAAAATGGAAAGTCCAACATGTGCAATGAACATACCTTTGGTTTACAAATGGGGTGGAAAGCTCTGATATCAGACGGAAGTTGGCAAAGTATGGAAGCACACCGCGGGTCTGGAACACAAACAACCTTTGGGTTATTGGATAGGTCGGATACTAGTGTATGTAATCCTATGTCTCACCATTTCTCCATCACTCAAAAAGGTCGACAGTTATCTCACTTTGCATTTCCAGACTCTGATGATTGGTTTAAAGCTTTAGCTAAACTATATATCTATGCTATCTATACTATATATACATCTATGAAATTCATTATACTATTGTATAATGACAATAAAGGCTTTCTATTCTATATATACACAATACCCGTATCCAACAGGTCTACACTGCTGAAAAAATAGATTTCCTACATTAAAGAAGCCTTACCAGCACATATCCATATGCATAGAGCGCCGCCAAGTGGTGGCAGACGAAGAAGCTGTCTCCCATAGTGCTCCAGTTACATGCAAGCAGCACAAGGTCTGAAAGTGGAGCAGAGGTCGGTGAGGGCAGACTAAACAACAAAACAGTTTGTAACAGGGAACCGTTTGTAACACAGCACATAGAGGGACACTGATGCGGTGCACAGAGGGGGCAGTTTGTAACACAGTGCACAGAGGGGGCAGTTTGTAACACAGCGCACAGAGGGGGCAGTTTCGTAACACAGCGCACAGAGGGGGCAGTTTGTAACACGGTGCACAGAGGGGGCAGTTTGTAACAGTGTACAGAGGGAGAAGTTTGTAACAGTGTACAGAGGGAGAATACGTGACACAGTGTACAAAAGGGGGAGTTTCTAATAGTGTGCGGAGGGGCAGTTTGTGATGCAGTGTACAGAGGGGCAGTTTGTAACATGGTGTATGGGGGAGTATTATCCTGCAGTGTACAGCAGGACAAGTTTATAAGTCAGTGTACAAAGGGGCAGTTGCACTAGTTAGTTTAAAACACACACTCTCCCTGCACAAAACATCCACACTGCTACTAATGATGAGAGCAAGGGCTTACCATAGAGAAGGTAGCCACATGTTATGGCTACATTTAACTTGACAAGGCTGGGGTCACCCCTGTGGAGGAAGCACAGAGCTGTGGGTTATAATGAATTCATCAAACTCATCGTCTCATAATGTAACTAAACAGTGGCCAATGACGGAAAATGTTTCTCATGGATTACACTGAAAGGTTAATGAAGGTGGATTTTTAATGGTTATTTAATGGTGATGAGCTGCTCGAAAACTATTATAATCCACTTCTCAACTAATGTACCTTAACAACAATGGTGATAAATACTAACAAAAAAAAACTAGTTTGTATTTGACACAATTGGCTATATTCTTAGAAATGTAACAGAATAATATAAATACTTATAAAAGGTGATGAAATTATAATAATGTGCCATAAGAATAAATGTAGTTTTTTTAATAACTGGAATGTGAAGTCTGACAGGCTAAAATCTTGAAACTAGAATATCAAATCTCTAGTGTTAAACAAATTCACTCACAACTAAATTAATGTATGATGAGTATGTTAGTAAGGCTGGGTACCATACACCAGTAGGACACTTTTTCCCCCCGAGTTTTGTTCTCTCTCTTCTCTTTTTTCACTTTTGATGTCTAATGGTTATTTACTTGAAGCTCTGTTATATTACATAATAATTCATGCAGCATTAGGTACCAAAAATAAACTGTTGTTCAGGTGTGAGTACAAAAAAACAGGTATTGCTCAAGTGCTGGTACCCAAAAAAGTATCCACCCCTATATGTTAGAGATAGATTTGGGAGGGAAAATCAATTGCCCCATCACCCAGGGCTCAAATGTCCGTATGTCTTGACCCTCTGGTAAGACTAGTTTAAAGACCTGCTCTAACTGCTGATGCACCTGCTCTGGCTGTTGTGTTGGAAATAGCAGCCCGGGCCTGTGCCTCTGTAGACACCTGACACCTGATCCCTGTATCAGTGGCGAGGGTCATATGGCGATCGGCTGGTTGGGCGTTTTATGCAACAGAAGCCCGCATGCTCCTTACTGTATAAACAAACTTGACACACACACCTTGCTGTAAACAGGTTTGCATTGTCCCCCTACCTCCCTTTGACAATATTAGCATAACAAAAAAAAGCTTCATTCTCTCTATAAAAACATCCTACCCATTTGCAATGAAAATAAGACCTTTGAAAATATGTCTTCACCCAATTAGTTTGAATAATTTGCTTGTTATATTCAAATGGATCAAATCATGAGACTTTCCATGTTTTATTTTCTTGTACTAATGTGAAGGCTGTAATACTGAAAGAATGTTCTATAAAACAAGAGAAATCATGTTTTGTCCCATTACATGCGTGTGAACATACAAATAAAGAAACATTCCACTGGCTTTGTCTATAAACAGTCAATACAATCAACAACAATCTGCTTTTGAATATCAGAAGACATCAGAGGAGCAAATGACCAAATGGTAAGAGAAGAATGCAGCTTCAAATGTCCTCTATAATGTTTGTTTAATACTACTTTGAAGTTTGAACCAAAGGCTTGGTATTTTCTTTAGTACAACTTAGAATAACAGTGTGCAGAATCTCTACAGATTTTTCATCCATGATTCATATTTGTTTGAGCTTTGGAGAGGAAGACAGACATACAGGAACTGAAACCTGTGCAAAGGAAGCAAAATAAAACATGCCATCATTACATCGCATGTGTCTATTTTAGTTTATTGTATTTTATGTAACAAACCAACCGTGTTCATGTGAAACAACACTATATAGTTCTAGTTGGCTGTTACACGTGCAGCCCACAGACGATACAAATTTTATGCAAGAAAAGGTGCTAAATATAATGATAACAAAAAATGAAAAATATATGAATTTATTATATAAGATGTGCGCTCTGGCCTCCCAACGCACTCTGTTAACCGATCTGAGGGATCAGTTTACCTTGTACTTAAAGAAAAGCAGGGAGCAAATCCCAGCTCGGATAGCCCGGTGATGGAGTGATAGTCCTAAAGTCTGGAGGCTGCTGGCAGAGCCTTCCCAATAATCCAATTAGAGGGCCCCAGCTTGAGTTTAATGTAGAGGAACGATAACAGTTTCTCTCAATAGAAGCCTAACTGACAGGAAGTTGGCCACGGATGAAATATAAAGGCTCTTTTTACACAGAGGTCGAACAGAGTCTATGGTAGAGACACTGGATGTGAGACAGTGTTCAGTGCACTGCAGAAGACTCCATTTAGAAGTGGGAGATATCGTCAAATAAGATAATATTGCAAATATCGCTTTAAATGAAACTTTTCTGGTGGACAGTCCATCACCTGCTTGTCTTCATGGAAATGTTATTGCTCTATCTAGAATGTTTCAGAGTACAGGTTAAACCTTTCAATTTCAAGGGCGATAACTAAAGTCTACTATAGTCATTACAGGTCAGGTCTGTGGAGAGGCAACCCTATTCACATAGAGAATTATTGTATTTTTGAGCAATAGAAACATCCATAATGAATAAATGCTTGACAGATGTGTTTAATGTCATACCATGGAATATTTTAAGACAAACCAATAATATTTCCATAGAGACAAGCAAGTGACAGACCCTCCACCAGAAAAATTGCACAACGTACCTTTAAGAAATAATGTAAAAAGGCTGCAAGAATATTGAAACACAAAATTATGTCAATATTGCCTGTCCCTTATAAACAAAACAACTAATAACAATAATAATAACAGAATATATATAATGCATTGATCACAAATAATTTTTACGCAACATTAAACTTTTTTTCAGTTAATGGGCCCCTTTAAAAATATTGACAGCAAGTCTGTGTGCTATTAAATGTGTGAATTAAACATATAAACACAAGGCTATGGGGGAGTTTATTGGGTCAGTAGCTGGACGGACAAAGACATTTTGAAACCGCTCCAATTCTGAGGCCATGGAATGAAAATCTGGGACTAAAATGGAATGAACTCAGTACTGCCCTTCCTCTCTCCTCAGATGACCCTGAAGCCCCTTCACTTTCCTTCTGTGTGTTCACGTTAAGGTCCAGATAAGCCAATCAAGTGCACCCAAGACAGCGGTGAGTGGCCATGCCCGTCTGCCTGGATTATGACCACTGAGCCGGAAGCCAAAGCAACCTCTGCGCTCGAAAACCTATCCACAATGCCGGAGCCTAACAGCAGTGTCCACGGCCTCTGCAGAGCTAAGTGCTGTGAACAAAGCAGGCAGCGTGACACCTCTTAACGAAGCCCTAATGCAGTCAGACTGATGGGGTATTAGGGCTTTGCTGTTGCAACAAGGTGGACGTTTTACCGGTGAGGTTGAGAAATAGGATGGCGAAGAGAATTGACCGCTAGAGCAGAGAGTCTCAAAGGGAGATTGTTCCACTGGTCCTTGGGGGAGCACAGGGAAAGAGCAGAGATAAAAGACCAGGAAAAGTGAATGAGCTCAGAGAACACCTGGACTCTGGAGGGGGACGTAGAGCCCATAGGGTGTCCTGTCCATTTGTACAAAGATCCTGTTAAACCTCCATGATTCAGGCAGACTTATAAGTTCAGTCTGACTGTTCCCGTTCTAAAATCGTACCAGAAAAGTCGTGATGTTAAGATTTTAGACTTTTCATAAGCCATTTTTTTCCTTGTATTATGTGGTAACTACAGTCTTTGAGGTGGAATTAATTATTTTCACACACTGTAACACATCAAATGTTAAAAATAGTAGCAAGTATTACAGTAACTCCAAGATTTTGTTTCATATATTCTTTGCAGGATCCACAAGCACATGGATGGGCCTGTAGGAACCATTTTTCTCTGCAATGAAATGGCCGTGCTGTTATTCATTTTGTTTCTCTATGGAGAGACAAGTCTAATGCCATACTGTGGATTATTCCAGGCAAAGCAATTACATCTCCATTGAGACAAGTGGGTGGTGGACCTTTACCAAAAACATAGTGCACCTTTGGTTTCAGATTAAAGGGTGATACATCGGTGGTCACGGAAACGTCATACCAAAATAATAGGACATTTTGTAGATTCATGTTTAACTCCATAATTTAAAATGCCCATTTACACTGCAGCTCATGAACATAATCACAATATTCTTTAGCTTTATTTATTTGAAGCAGGCCGGCAGCGCACAGACTGCTGTAGATCCTCAGAACACAGCCGCACTTGCAGACTGGTCACACATACATACGCAGGCAGAGCATCTTGAATGTGCCTCCCCCATCCCCCACCTCCTCTTCAGCTGCGGAGCCTGGAGCCGCACAATACCGCTGAGGGAGGTGCGCTGCATTGATTCCACCGCACGCTCCCGAGCCAGACGAAGGGGTCGCATGAGGTTTCACCAAACGGGGGGGCTGTTACGCACAAGAGGGGGGCACTTATGAAAAGAAATCCTGTTGAGGTGGATTCTGGGATTTTAGGCGGCGAAGACAGGCGACGCGACGTTTGGACGAATTACATTAGAAATAAGGCGAGATCCGTCTGTTTGAATGGATTTGGTGAGAAATTCCAGTGTCAGCAGAGGAGATGGGCTGTAGACAGTAAGACAATAATCACAGTCTAAATCTAGTGAATGTACTACTCCCCGAGGACCCATCCATCCTCACTGCCTCGCGCTGTACCATCACAGAACATGTCTTTGCCTTCTTATATATTCCCTTTTAATTTTTTTTTTTTTTACACACAAAACAGAATGTTGTAGGGAGACATTTCTCTTCTCATGACATCTCATTTACTTAAAGAATTTTGCTGACCTTGTTCTATATTTAAATAAGCACACAATCTTAAACACAGCAAAGAAATTATGAGGCTATATCTGTTATTTAGGGCTGTAGGTGTAATTGTTTAGTCGAATAATCGGCTCATGACGTCTTACTCAACCAAAATTTGTATTAGTCGACTAATCCCTTTATTTAGATGTTAAGAATTTATGTGGGACAGCAGCAGAAAGGAGAGGTTTAATGCATCTTTATATAAATACACTGTTTCCTAGTACATAAAAATAGTTGTTTTTGCATGAACCCCTGTGCAGGTGTAGACTTGTGAGTGCAGTCTGGGTCAGATACATAAAGATATGTAATCATTTTGAGAGCTTTTTGCCATGCCCCCTTTTTGCCGACTAATCGATCATCAGCAGGACATGTCTTTAGTCAACCAAGAATTTTAAAAATCATCTACAGCCTCACTATTATTTATATGGTAAGAGTTTAATATCAGATACTTAGTGAGTATCTGTATAGTATTTGTAAGTGTACTATTGTGCTTCACTGTTGCAGCATATAGAGAGGCAAATTCATTGATTCCTCTGCCTTCCTCCCCCTTACAGATTGTGGGTGGTTGGAGCCTGTCCCATCTGTTTTGATTGTGAGGCTGCTTATACCCTGCCTAATTGCCAGCACATAGCAAGTCAGAGCACACCACCACTCACTCCCACGTTTACCAACAGTAAGAAAACCAAAATATATTAAGAATAGTAGCAGTGTGTATGCGTATGGACAGTATACTGGATTTAATTGTGTAGCAGACCAGACAAAATCTCTAGAGAATACCACTGTAAAGCTGTAGAGTTTTGCGTACCAGACGGGGTTAGCGTTGACTGCATCGTCGAACCACAGGATGTATAAACAAAAGAAGCCTACAATCAGGGCGTGGACAGTGGACACCATCCTAGAAGACAACAAGAGAGGAGAAAAATATGAATACGTTGTTTTGCAAAAAAAATATAAATAAGTTGTTTTGCACAAAAGGTTTACACTCCGCACACGTACTGGCACAGGGCACAGTATGTTCTTGATGTAAATCGTCCTAATTCTCAGGTTAGAGGGTCTATTTCAAGGGATTGTAAAAAAAAAAAAGTGACCCAAGATATTTTATTTCTCCATGTCTCAGTGAGGCAACACAATTTTGGAAAAAAATGTAATGAATGAGGACACATGTTATTACATATATAAAGTCAAAATTTGTAAGATATTTCTAAATGACTATCAACAAAAGCTTGAGACAAAAGAAGTTGTTGGCGATGTGAAGTCTGGACTTTGAACACGTCCTGATGCAATTTTTCATCATTAATCAGCAAATTGCGAGATATAGTTTGGTGGGTTTATTTTTTTCCATGTTGCATTTTTATTTCTTTAAGGTTTTCTGGACTAAACTCGAACATAGATATATAGAACATCAGGTCTACTGTCTACGGTGTCTATCCTGATGTCTGTATTCTCTGCTCCATCCACGTGAGAGTGAGCGTTCTTTATCTTCTCCAGTGCAGCGTCACCCCTGACCTTTGGAGCGCTTTATCAAGTGACCACTGCACATATTCTTATCAGAGGTGTCACACAGTCACAACTGCCTCCTGTCACTGGAGTCCAACACTACATAACCACTACTGCACCTCGGTCACACTGCTCCTCTTTCACGTTGGATGCCCCGATAAAAATCAATAAGTAACTCTGTGCAAAAGTTTTGGTGACTTTTTGACCCAAAAACCCAAGCAACTTCTGCAATTCTCTAGATATGATTTCTGAAAATTCAAGCCACTGTCTGGAACCACTCTCCTGAGCTGGAGCAAGATAAACGCATGTGATTTTGAAAGTGTTCAACTCTTAAAAACTTTTCTGGTGGAGGGTCTGCTACCTCCTTGTTTACGTTAATTTTACTGCTTTGCCTGGAATGCCCCACAGTAAAGCATTAAAGGAAATTTTTCCTAACCTTGCATTTGAAGGATTTATGTCTGAGCAGCAGCAGCGAGTTGTACTTCCTGATAGAAAGCTTTACATCGGTGGACCGATATCACCTGATATGTGCTGCTGCTGAGAAAATAGTCCCTCAACATGCGACGATTCATGTGACGCAAGGTTAGTGTTATTTCAAACATTATTCTGTCAACACAGACATTTACATCAATAACAGATTTGCCTCGGGTTTTGTGGAGTGGGTAAGACTATTTTTACATTTTTTGACATGCGCTAGCCTAGCACCAGCGACGTCTGCAAATACGAGGACTGGATGGAATATTTTAAAAACTGTCTCCACACATCTCCAACACTCTGTCTCACTAGGAAATGAGGTCCTATGTCCAAAATTCTGGACTGTCCCTTTAAACTGGTTAGTTGCATTCATAGAGATAAGCATATTACAGGTCAGATCTGTGAGAAGGTGACCATGATCACAGGAGGATTTTAGGAGTATATGTTTTTCAAGGTATTATTTGGAATTTAAAACATAACTGAATTCGGTGCATTTTGCGTGCTTTTGTCTGTTATTTGGATGAACGTGTACAAAATTATCGACCAAAGAAATGGGGTGAGGAGGAGGCTTTTTAAACTTTCTGCTCATCAGCCACATCAGACCATCAGTAAACTGTGTTCATCAGATAGTGTCACGATAGTATCGTTCATCGTTCAGCGCATAAAACCTGCACAGCATTTGGACACACAGGAACATTTTTTGTTCATTATTTTATTTTACTTTAGGGGGCTCATCCTTTTCAGACACCTCTCTACATTTTGGTTTTAAATACCATTCCTTATCATAAAAAGACCAAATTTTGTGTTGGCAAAACCAAATTTTTAAAATATTTTTCCAATATGCAATGCAAATTCTGTGAAGCACCTTAGAGAAACAGGGTTACACCACCTACAGACTTAGTGGTCATCCCTTTTCAAAAGGATATTTTATCTTCATTTTTCTATAACCTAATTTACATACACACATGAACGCAAGCACGCACGCATGCACGCACACGCGCACACACACAAACATGCAGAGTGGGTTTGAACACTTCGTGGTTCAAATACAGACACAGTCATCAGCTATATGAACTTGTGTAACCATTGTCCTGGCACTGGCTGGAGATCACTCCCATACTTTTAGTTATGTAGTGTGAGGGGGTCACAGACGTGTAGGACCAGAAACATGCTGTGTCTGATGCTGAGACTGTGTACAATATTACACAATCATTTAGGGAACAAAAAAGGGAACAAAAAAAAAATACAATTTTCTAATTTGTGCTTTCAGCAGTTTTTAGTAGTATCAGTCAGACTTGAGTCTCTGAATAAAAACCTGGTTCACACAGGTTTTCACTACAGAAGTCTTTTAAATTGTGTTTCTAGTGCTTCTGTTTGTGTGTCTATGAATCCTCATAATCTTCTTCATGTGTTCAGTTTTCTCCTTTGTCCATTCGGTCTATGGACTTTGAGTACCTACACACTGCACACTCTTACCAGACTACAGCACGTGCAGAGAGTGGTACAGCTGATTCAGTAGCTGACAGTTGTGTTTTGTAGTTTTGATCTGAGAGTTATGACTTGACAATTAATATAGTATTTGCTACTTGAGTGGCAAGTTTTTTAATTTGTGCCAAAGATTTAGACTTTAGACAACAACAAAAAAAAACCCCCAAACAAACAAAAAAAAACAAAAACTAATTCCATATTGTGAAACATTCCAAGAAATGGCATACCTCCCTTTTTAAAAGCAACATAATATACCTTTAGAGCTCTTTTTGATGACCCAGAATATATCTGAATTGAATATTTCCATAGATTTTGCTCATGTCCAATTGAAAATGGTGCCATTGGTTTTTGTCCAAATTTTAAAATGGGACTATTTGCACAGTCAGTTTGAGTCATATGAGTGCCAATGCTGCATAAATGGAGGGCACTGTAAATGTCTATGAAGGGAACGAGCTGTAGGGATTGAGCTGGAGGAGGAGGAAGTTGTGTGAAACAGTGTCAATATTTCTGCTCAGGGAAAATATGTTGCCAACACTGCAGCTGTTCTTTGATCCGTTCTTGGCGCTGGTAAAAAACAAAGTTGGAATTATATTATTTACAAAGAAAGATGGTTAAAATGCCTGGAGCAGACTGTAAAAAGACTGACTGGTGACATGAGCTCAAATCAATGGGACTGTAATTGAATATTTAGCCTATTCTGTGATTAAAAGGAACCGGATGTAACCTGTGCTCTTAAAAAAGGTATTACAATCATAACTGAACCTGGTTTGCCAATACCTTTATCTGCATACAGAGGACACATACAAGTTTTCCTCAGTCTCAGTAAATGGTCTGCACATACAACAACAGCAAAGGTGATGATCAATGACTGGCTGCAAGTGTTGGGGTTTAGGTAGTGACCATTCTGATCAGAGAGTGCATTTAGGTTTAAACCAACTGGATTTCAGTAATGAAACTGCAACCCAAATGAGAGACTTAAGTGAGGCTCATTCTGCTTTCTGATTGGGTAAGCGTCTTGAGAACAAAAATGCCAAATAAATGGAACATCATGTCCAATGTTTTTGTATTTAAGAATAAATCAGCATTACAGTTGTTGTCAGTACAAGGTATTATTTGATTTAAACATGTTTATTTGGCAACACAGTTAGGTAAAGTTTATGAAATAAAAAACATACATGCAGTTCCTTTAATGAGAAAATATGGCTCATTTGTTTATATTCTATAGTTCATCTTGCCACTCATATATTAGGATTTTTTAATACTGAATGACGTGTAAAGCATAGCATTTAAATCAGTATATATGCTTTATAAGCTTATTTAGTTTTATATATGAACAATCAAATCTAATCTTAAATGTCAATACTGGTATATCTTTTTATTTTTCAAAGTGTACACTATATGAGAGTTAAATGTTAGCTCTTCTTTCTTTTTACAGATTCAGAACGGTTTGGGTGTTTTTTATTTTATTACATTTTTTAATTATTATTTTTTTAATAAGTTGAACTTCTATCTCATTTCAGCCAATTAAACAATCTGACTGTAGAGCCCCAATTAAGACTTACAAAAAGTTTGTACAATTTTAGTTGCAATGTTATGTGATGCTCAGGCCTCAGGGCAGATCAACTGACAAAATTAGACCATTTGAGGTCTATTTTCAATGAAGTAGCTAGGTAACAGCTTCATTATCAAACTTCACACAAACACTGAGTCACCTTTTAGATTATACTGTTCAAAATGAATCCATTCACATGAACTTAAAGCTGGACAATCCACATTTCTAAATCAGGAGCACGTTTAAACATGATGTGACCGTGTAATATGCATAGATACTCAATTCACTTGTGAACATCTTTTTCTATTTGTCTTGCATAAGATTCACAAAGAGTTCTGGATGTTATGCAACACTAACCCACTTTGGAGTGAACCATCCGCACCTGGCCTTTGACTTGGTTTTAAATATTCTGTTCAATAGCCTGTATAATGAAAATATGAACAGACAAGTTGAACCAAGGCTATCTGAACGGAGAAGAATGTGAATACAGCTAAAGCCAATTTGTAAAGTTAGGAAAACATCTTTCATAACTAAGGTCAGTGAACTGTGAACTTGGACCCTGGAAGTTTGTGCTGGAAGTTTGGCGCTGCGATCACAGCTGCGCTCACACAAAATGAGGCTGAGTTTGCCTCAGGCTCCATCTCAGAGGTGATGACTCTCCCAAACTGTGGAGCTCATTAGAATGTCACACCTCTGCAAGGCTTTGTTTTGGACAAAGAGCATGTCCCATCAGATCTGCGGGAGGATTCACTTATTTTCAGGAGGGGAAGGGAAGCAGCTTTTTCTGTAGTGCATTTTGTTATTTTTGGGAAATGTACGCTGTAAGCAGCAAAAGTCTTTTTTTAAAAGTTAAGTCTGCAGAACATTTTTAGGCTCAGTATTTTTTTTACTTTTAGCCATGTTATGGCAGAGACTAATCTTAGCAGTTGAGTGTACAAGCTTGTTTTAGGGCAGCTTACACAAAAGTGGAGGGATTCTACTACATAATTGTAATAATTATTTATGACATTAACAGAGATATCATCTGTTGTGCCATCGCGGAGCAACAAAATGTCCGAACACCCAGGTAAGTGTTGTCACTTCGATGTAGTCTAAGGCCTAGAACTGATGGTATTCTGTTCTACAGCAAGTTGAATAGAGTTTTGAAGGACAGCAAATATCCCCCTGACAGCTCCGACTGTTGAATGAACACTACTTGAAGTATTGTGATGGCTTTTTAATGATGCATTTAGCAGCAGTTAATTGCAGAACAACAGGGTCATGCTTTGAAAGAGGCTTGAGGCTGCTCCAGGGCCAAGACGGCGGGGAGCTTTTATTGCTGATGTAAGTGAAATTAAACACACTTTATTCAAGTGTCAGAACATCCTCTGGCAGGTAAACATGGGCACAAAAGAGCCATTTATAGGTTGCAAATTGAAAACTCAGCATGCAGCATTAGCATTCTTTCAAAAGCTTAAGAAAACTTATGGATTTAGACAATTGTCTGTATAACTAATATGGTGTGACCAATTGTTGTTGTCAGTTAAATGCATAAATGCATTTTGAACAGCAGGGGAAACAGCAAGCACAGCATAGCAAAAGAAAACATATAGAAAAAAACACTTCAGATTCCAGTCCATAAATATCAATAATTTACCAAGCCTAACTCTAATAAGGCTTTCAGCAATTATTTAGGTTGCTAGGCCAACAACGTTTTTAAGGTCAAAAAGCACTCACCTGTGTCGACTGTGGAGGGGGAGAAGACTAGGACATTAGCTTAACTGGAGAACAGTCACTGTTTATCTAGATAGACTAATGACTTTAAACCAACTTAACTCTTATTTAATTTAACAAACTGCTACAAAAGTATGTGTTTATTAGGAAATAATAGCAGCAACATTCTTCAGGATGATGCTGCAATAAGCCTTTACAATAGGCCACCATGCCAGCAATATGAATCTTGCAGGCCCTAAATCTAATAGTGTGTGCATCACCCACCGGGAGTTCCACTCGATGTGCTTGGGGGAGGGCAGCTGAGCATATCCCGGCGAGATGGCGGCGGAGAGGAGTGGGCTGACCACCGAGCAGAGGAGCTGGAACCCCGTGAAGCTGCCCACCACCACCTTCAGCTCTCTCGTGTCCATTACTCACCTGCGGATCAGAGGGGGAGGGGCAGGAGGGGGGTGAGGGAGAGGGAAGACACACATGGACAGGTTCAATCGATGGCTGTCAATCATCCCGTAACAGCAGGCGGGAGGAATCCGGGAGGCACAGACACGTAAAGACAGAAAAGGAAGGAGGAAAAGAGGCCAGGATGAAGGCTGTCTGCAGTGAATGACAGTAAAGTTTAGGACAGGAGGGCGGTCCAGGACACGTGTACAACAAGAGGGTGACTCAGCTTAAAGCACGAGCGGCACAAGCGGCAGGAAGAGAGGAGAAAAATAGGAACAGTTATTACAACGCAACGTCTCAAGTGAGAGAGGAGGTTGTGAAGAGAGAGTAGCACACTGTAAAGACAGGATTAGGATAAAGACAGCTTTTTAAAATATGTTTTTACAGTACTGATTTACTGCAAATCTGTGTGTTATCTTGAGGGACTGACCGAGTGAAAAAGCAGTGTCCTAGTGAAAGTAAGACAGGAGCCCAAAGGTGCAGCCCTAGAGTCACTGTCTGTATGCGGCGCTGTGTGAGTACAGTACGTCAAAGGGCATTGAGCTGCTGAATGAAAGAAGTGCATTATTATGCATGTTTAGTAAAAGGGGGGATTACAGCCACTTGTTTAGGACACAGCCAAATCCCTGAGAAGAAAACAAAGGCTGAGCGAGGAAAGAAAAGAGGATTGTCAAGTTGAAGCAACGGGTTCAACTCCAGACCCACAGTGTCAGACTGTGGACAGCTGCCACCACTTCAAAGCTGGGCTTTCAAACAGGCAATTTAGCATCCAGCTCAGAAAGAAGAATTACTTACAAAATGATAGGTAATGACGTCACTCAAATGAACTCAAATCATTCTAAAATGCTTTCAATAAGTACATAGATTTAAATAACTGATATATTTAAAATACAATGGACTGGCTTTAGAGTATCGCTCTTGTCGCACTGAAAGGCTCTACAGTACAAAAGAAGGACAAACGTGTTTGGATAAAGGAGTTGGCTGCTGAAAATGAACCTATAAACCACCAAATTGGCATTATGTTTTTAAGTATGGCTAAAGAGTCAAAAAAAAAAAGAAAAGAAATTGCTATTCACAATATCCATTCTAATCCAACAAAATGGGAAAGCCGTACTGAAGACACGGAAAAAAAAAACATCTAGACGCTATTATATTGACAGGCCATTACTTACCCATTATTACTAGTTAATACATAAAGTTAAAGAGCAACAAACAAATGACTGTTGCATGGTGCTAGAATACGTCACAAAATTCCACCCCACACGTATCAGATTCATCATCTCAACAACCATGAGAAGTCACCGATTCCTCTGCACTCAATGAGATTTTGTGGATGTGTCACAAGCTCTGAGGAGACAGTCATCTGACACAGGCGACCATCTCACTGAGGTCAACAGAGCTGCTCCAGTGATGACTGTTAGCACTCACTCTGTAATCCTATCTGCTGTATGTTTAGAGGATCCCTCTCCTCCTCACAAACAAACATAGAGCAAAAAATAGTCATCAAAAGACATACATACTTGGCAACAAAGTAAGAAAATCACATAAACTAAAGAGCAAAATCCACAAGGAAGCCTGCATTTTCCTACCTCCTTCCATCTTCCTGTCTGTCACTGTTGGCCAGTCACAGCCTCTACACCACCGCCGGTGCCTGGGCCCTCAAACATGCCTTCACTTCCTAAACAACTTGATCAACCCCCCTTTAAATGGTTAACTCTTCATCCGTGGGCTTTATCAATATCCTAAATAATAATACTCAAAATACTATAAAGAATGGAAAAGAAAAAATACAGATGTTGATAGTCATTTGTTAAAAGAGACAAACTCACTTGATTAAATAAATAAACCTAAATTTGCATTCTTACTGTTGAAAAATCTTTTGGCAAGTCCACATACAGAGAGAGATCAGTCTGGTCCTTACACAGTCATGTTTGTTTTAATGCTGATGAACTGTGTGTGCTTCTGATTGGCTAATCCATCTGTCAGTTATGCCCATCTGAACTCTGGGAGACCCGGTGACCAAACTCACATCTCTGTATAGTATTGCAGAAGAGTGTATTCTGGTCCTGGGCAAGAAAAACGTAGAAGAATATTACAATAGTAAGTGCTGGTGTTGTAAAGGGGAATTATGCAAAAACCTCTTCAGAAGATATTGTTGTACTGTACTTTGGTGTAAGACTCCTCTCATTCTGTGCCTCTTTGATTGACAGACTTCCTCCTTCAGCCGTGAGGGAAGTGCCTTCACCTGCCAGCCCTGTCTGCACCTGTCAGCACTGAACAAAGGCTTACTCTGGGAGCATGGGGATTACTCCTGTCACATGAGGCTGTATGAGGAGGAGGCCACTCACAGGCCAAACTGAACTCTACAGTGACGAGCACATTCACTTCATTAGACTGACGGGGATGCACTTCATGTTCTGCTCAGATGACGGCAATATCCATATGGACCTTTTCATTACTGTTGACTGTGCATTTAATGTGAGGTAAACCAAAGGTCAAGACGCAGTAGTTACTGATTTTTGGAGGGATAATTACATTTATGTTTAAACATTAAGATTCCGTTTAAACTGAAGCACAGGTTTTAACACAGTCGTATCGATGTCTGACAGAATTAAATATGAACACTAAAGTAACATCACATGTATTAAGGACTGCAACAACTAACTGGATAAATCATGATTAATTGATTATTGACAAACTCAATAATAAATCCTAAATCCATGTGTTCTGATCCCTGAGCCTCTTTCACATTCACGCTGCAATGTAGAATAGTGCCATACCACAACCTCAGTAGTTTGTTCTGACAGATTTAACCTGTGTAAAAAACACAGATTAGAGAGGAGACATACACACTGTACATCCAAAAGAAATCCAGGCACTGCAAACTGCATTTGTTATGAAAATTGATTTTTATTAAACTGTGTCATGGCAATACAAGTCCTGTCATTCATATAGCGCCCTCATTCTCAAAAAGGGAACTATGCCTTTGGTCCAATTTACTCCCACAAAAGAGAGCACCGCTGAGGCCAAACTGTATTACTTGTAGTCTTTGTTGCCAAAGCCACTTGTGCACAAAGCACAAACCACAGCTCTGTGTTCAGATAAACCTAACATGGGGCCTTACGCGGAGAGCAATCTACAGCCATTTATTCCAGATTAGGATTGTGCAAACAGTACTGCAGGTTGCACCAGGCACAGCATTTCAAGTGTTGAGAAACTCTCCTCTGGGCAAAGCCACAGACCACGTCCAGCTCCTTGCGGCACATGACACTTAAAGCATGTGCACTGCAGCCTACATCAGGCTATTTATACTCGGCGATGCCTAGTGTCATGCTAACTGTGTATGAACAACAGGAAATAAAAGGCACAAGCAGAAAAAGCACTTCTGATGTAATGGACCAAACCAGACTCTCATTTGTCAAGTTAGCTCGGGGCAGCTGAGGCGATACTTCACAGAGGAAGCAGACACAAATACAGGTTTCTGACCATTAAACACGCAGCTGTTTCCAAGACACTGCTTTCCCTGAAAATATTGCAGTACAGAATTACAGTATAAAACAAATTAACTTTTAAAATAAAGATCGCTTTCATTGTAAAAACGTACATCTTATATGTATAAAAAATTTGAGCGAGAGCAGACAGCTGTCAATACTCCAGCTGCACAGGACAGGCGAGTCAACTTCTATGACAAAGGTCACTTTGCTTTGTGGACTTTATACACTGAACCAGATAACAGGCTAGATCGTATTAAGACTTGTCTATGATGTAGTGCACTAACATTAGAAAATAATATGATAATCTGGTCCTCAAAAGGCAACCTACAATACACACAGTATAAACTTTCTTTAACATCAGAGTGACTAAAAAAACATTAGATGCAAAGATGTTAATATTAAATACAAGAACAATGACCAACAAACAAACAAATCCAATAACTTTACCTTATCCACTTGTTATTTTCCTAATCCAAAGCAGAGTTCAACTTCCCTTTCACAAAGTAGAGGAGGAAGAGAAGCAGGACATGACAGAGCTTCTTATTGTCCCCAGCACACTGCACATCCAGGGCCACGCTGATCATATGCAGCATGTGCCTGAATAATTCATTGGCATTCTTCACCTGCAGCCCTGTGCAGGCGGCCTATAGGAAGCACACACATATACAGTACAGTACACACACATATACAGTATACAGTACACACACACACACACACACACACACACACACACACACACACAGACACACACACACACTGTGCAGATGACAGGCCGGACGGGAGAGGTGTTCGGCCGTCAGTGCTTGACCTTGTTCCACCGGACTATACTGCTGCTGTCAGCAAACCATGACCCTTTGACATATCGACCAAACATAAATAATAGCGGTTCAATTTTCTCCCCTTTTCCTTGGAAATCCAACACGGCTCCAGTGTACCGCATTGCAACAGTAGCAGCACATTCTCAAGACGCAAATAACGTTGATCTCTGCAGGCACCTGAGAAGATGACTTTGGAGACCACAGTTTACAGTAGTTTCCTTTCAGATGCTCCTGAGATGCGTGGGATTAGCATTCAGGTCTGCATTCTCATGGAGGCTCTGCTCTGAAGCAAGTTGCGCTCACAGTTCAAAGAGAAAGCTTTATGTAACCTCTCCCTATAGCGCTTATTCTGCACAAAATGCTCTATTACATTATTACACAGGTACAGGTGTTAGAAACGACGAGCCAACACGATAAATGCGCATCATATGTCCACAACTCCCCACATCTGGTCAGTCTGGAGTTAAAGAGAAAAAGGAAGGAAGAGTATTTAAAGAGCAAAGTTAGTGGATAGACTGACAGACAGGAGGAGGAGTGCTACGTGGGCTGCTGCCTCCACAAGAGCCAACTGCACGAGAATGAACGTTTACGTGAAAAAAGCACGTTCATTAAAACAACACGTTTGCTTATGCGGGTATTTACACAGACAAAATGCACAGGAGAGGTGATTTTTACCTTGTATTCGTCGCATATGCCTGTGTGTGCGGAGAAGCTGCCGTTTAAGCCGCCGCCTTCTCCACTTTCTTGCAAGTTGACGTTAGCTAGCAAGTCGGCTACAAGGAGCGATCCGCGGCGGAGGGACCCCAGAACCGAGAAGGATCTCCGCGGAGGGGAGACGACCGCCTCTGCCCGCTGCTCGTACAACACCCCCACGTCCCAGCTAGCCTCTCACCCCGGCGGGGACAACCATACGCCTTCTTAGCCCCGATGCCCGAGTGCCATGTGTTTTCAGTTTCCAGCGAGATAGAAAAGTTTTGGCTCGTTTTATTTTGGCGTTGACAGAGGGGACCGAGCTGTGACGTCAGCACGCACACGCCCCCCACACGGCGACGCCCACGAGGAACAAAGGCCACAGTGGACCTAATGTGAATGATGATGATAACCCCCAGATGTGTGGACCTGCTGACTGTTAGGCCGTCATAAAGATAGTGCACAGAGCCAGCCCTTATACAGGATGTCGATACATTTATAAACTCATAAATCATTTAGAGAGTCTTATTCCAGCCATTGTTGCTCTGTTCTGAACTTCTGCAGTAGCCTATATGCCAGACCTGGGGTAATTTAGAATTACGAAATAAACATATATTATAATTTTATCTCATGCATGGACTAAGCGGCATTGCTTTTATTTTAGAGGTGTTTTTTTAATGACATTTTTGTGAGGCCACCTCACTTTTTCATTGCTTTGTCATAACATGTACTCTTACCAGTCTTACCAGCTTGTCAAAACAATTTACTGCTTTTTGAATTAGGCATTTTGGCCTGGCTCTCTACAATATTTTCTGTTTCTCATAGCCCATCCCTGCTGTGTACCATCTTAACAATGTCCATATTTTATTGTAATGTAATTCAAAATAAACAAACAATTAATACATAATGAATAACGTCTGTGATAATATACATGTAATACATCAATCTAATTTTGTAATCCTGCTCTCAACATCAGTGGTTGAGCGGTCAGATCCACTGGCCCACAGGTTGGCGATTCCAGCTCTCACAGATGAATGCTGGCATTGTGTCCTTGGGCAAGGCACTTAACCCACCTCACCCCCAGTTTCTGTGCACACTGGTGTATGAATGTTTGTGTGAATTGGTGAATGGTTTGTTGTTGTAAAGCGCTTTCAGTGCCTTGAAGGTGGAAAATTGCTGTATAAAAATCCGACCATTTACCATTACTAAAATCACAAATTTAAAATAAAAGTTTATGTGTAGCCATCTTATTTTATCTGCTAACAAACTCAGTTCCTACACTGAAGTAACTGTCCATGTGTTACCCAAAGGGTTAGAGTATTTTTTTCACCATAATTTTGAATTAGTTTAGAGGGGCACTAAGTAACTTTTCAGGTGGAGTGTCGGCCACCTTGTTGTTTCCATAGAGATTACTGACTTGCTTATAATGGCATTAAACCTAAATCTATCTTCATTCAGACAAGAGTGTTGCACCACAAGCAATAAAAACAACTATGATCTCAATGGAGAAAAACAGGTGGTGGACATTAGGACACTCCTGAAATGTTATATGGTGCCATGGCCCACTTGGAGACATGGTGCAATAGAAAACCAAATAAATCTGTCGCAGAGTGTCTTTTCTCTTTGAGACCAATGTGATCTGCGTACTGTCCTAAATGAATAAATAAATAAAATGCATCCAAAATTAATAACCTATACTTTTTTTTTTTTTACATAAGAACCTTGTGGTCCAAACCGATTTGCTCAGCAGTCACTTTCTCAACTCTGTTTCCACATCATCGCAGTATATGGGAGAAGAAAGCAGACTTTCTTTGCAGTTAAGAACCTTATAAATTATTTCCTAATACGCATAAGCTGGAGGGCACAGTCGGAGTGAAAAGACTATAGACTTTGGAATGTGGTTGGACCTGCGTGTACCTTTAAACAGCATGTGTACGTTACCTTTGACCTCAGTCAGACGGACTCATGGGTAATGGCAGGAAGAGGCTTTGAAAAGAGAGTTAACGGCACATTTGTGTGGTGTTTGTTATGGTTACTATTTGTCCAAGTATTGAAATATTAATCTGACGTCAGCTTGACTTTCTGGTTTTGCCACCCACCATACACAGCACAGGAACAGCTTTCTCTCAACACATTTGGCATTCACAATCCTCTCAAGGCAGAATGTTGTCATTTTGTCACTAGAACTATATGATTGGTGATGTAATTGTGGGATTCTGAGAACATCATAGCCCAAGGAGATATACTTAAATTGCATATGCTTAAATAGTTAAATGAATAATTGACAATCAAGAAACTTTTTAAATTGTACTGTGCATGATTTTTTATATTGATGGTGCACTGAGCAATGTTCTGCAGTATGGCATTAAATGATTTAGCTCCACAGACACAAGGAAGCAACACCACCAGTCAGCTCAGTTGAGAGGTAATTGCATAAATGATACATATAATACACTCATAATAACGAAGTAAAATGCTTTAGGGATATATGAAAATATGAAATTTTGTTAGACTGTTAGAGTTGCAAACTATACTCAGCTATATAATGCTATATAAATAATCATATCCATTTTTGTCCTGACCAAAGTCACATGATCCACACCATGTATGTTTTCAGTATAGTGTATAGTGTAGCGATTAACATTTGAAAAGTAAATATTATGTCTTCTGAATGGTTAAAGGAACACAAAACACCAAAGAGTGTGAACTCTTTCTAATAATGAAAACAATGCAAACAAGTTGGGTTAGTGCCCAGAGCTGATTTCAAACCATGAGTCAGACACATGTTTTAGTACGAACCTTTACCCCCGCCCATGTAGTCCTTTCACTCACTGTGAGATTGCACCATGACACAGAAAAAACTGCTGGGATAGTGCCATGATGTTGTGTCTTTACATACTTCTCCAATCTCTGTCCGCTTTCAGTTTTTGTTGTTACTCTTGAAAATGCATCATGACAAAGAATCAAGTGTCTGGTTCAGGCCCTTTAAAAGAAGATAACTCAGTATTTAAAGATTACACATTTATATAGATATAAGCGATGAAGCCCCATCAGAAGACAGTATTCACAGAAACATACTGCCTTTGTTTGAAAGATCAATTGTTTTTTACTCTGTTTTGAAGAAAATAATTTGCCAGAAGCCCATGAATAGACAACACACTCAACGGCCTAATTTAACATGTCAGGGGTGGGCAGTAATTTTTTTTCCATGGGACCACATGAGAAACAGAAAATCTTGTGGAGGGCCAAGCCAAAATGCTAAACTCTGTTCTGCACAACATTAATTGTATTTCTTTATAAAAGGCAGTAAATAGCATTCTTTTGACGAACTGGACAGACTGGTAAGAGTTAAGTTATGACTAAGCAATGTAAAAGTGAGACTGCCTTACAAAAATGTCATAAAAAATAAATAAAAGCAATGCAGTTTCAGTCCATGCATGATATAAAAATTTGGAAATATGTTTATTTTGCAATTCCAAATGAGATTAAACGAGATGGTCAGAGTCAGCCAAAAAGATGTATGTGGCCAGGGATCTGTACAGTGCCCAGGTTTGACATATGTTGTAAACCAAAATGCTGTAGACCAGGCCAAACTATGGCCCGTGGGCCAAATGTGGCCCTCAGACAATTTTTTCTTGGCCCTCAGGCTTCCAGGTAAATTGGTAGAAACTACCGTGTCAATTAAAAATGAACTTTCTACTTTCTACTTAGTACCTTGATAAAGCTAATATTTAATATTTAGTGTGTGGTTGTAAGGATCTTAGCATGAATAAAGACTAATGGCTCATTGTAACGTGTTAAACATGCACATATTTCAATTATTCACTGTACTGAGCACCAATCTATCGCCCTTGATCAGCCCTCTGCTTCGTCTATGT